AGGGATATAATCTTTAAGACACTGAGAATGTGTCAGTCCTGGTACCGACCTGCACTTTTTCAAGAAGCTCCTTGGTACCACCCAATGTCCCCTGGTCCTGCAGGAAAAGTGGCAGAGTGGATCCATCTGTGGCTGCTGAAAGGACAGAGTCTGCTGTTTTGGGCCCACGTGTAACAATGGGGTTGAACACGTCAAGGCTGCTGTCAAGATTCAGGCAAGATACAGACTCCAGCCATGCCCTCACATGAATCTGAAAATAACGAATGTCAGGAAACCTTATTGTCAAGACTAGTCATGCAGAAAGTACATACAAAAGCTGAAGCTGGGTAAGATCACACTACCTGTGATTTATCCAGTATCCGGCTGGCCTTCTCAAGGTCCTTGCTTGTGTCCTTTAGAAGTGTTTTTAGCATCAGGGCGGCAGAAGGCCTATCTAGCACCCTCATAACAGTGGCCATATACCCATCAGACACAATGAGATACAACAGCCGTGGATGCCAGGTCACAGAATATCGCTGCCTCAGGACATCCCGAACTGACAAGCTAGAGCTGGACAGAGAGGCCTCCCCTTTCAATGCGGTCATTGGCGGCCTGCAAAGGGAGAGGATAGATGGAAAAACAGAAAACCTTTTATCACAGACATTATATTACATATTATATTAGTGCTCAAACAATTAGTCGATCAGTAGATGATGAATGGGCAACTATCAACTATTCATAAAGGATTAATAATGTTTTTTTCCAGTCAAAATACCAAACATTCTTCTTCATATTCTGCTTCTCAGAGTGTGTTGGATTTAAACAAGACAAACATTTGAAGACAATATCTTTGGAGTTTTGCATTTTTTTGTGTTTTCTGACATTTTACAGGACAAAGGGACACTGGATTTAAACTTCAATGCTTAGGACAATAGATAGGAGAGAATGACTTGGCTGGCTCTCATGCTGAAAAGTGGAAGCGAAGCAACCAATAGAAAAGGAGACCACAGATGAGAGAGGAGAGATAATAATTAAGAACATCAATCCAAACAAATCAATAACTTGTAACAAGAGCTAATAAGTGATGACCACAATGTCTCAGATGTATACCGGTAAGTGACGAGAGGATGCAGGGGTAGGAAGTGTGCGGGCCCAAAGTCAACACTGCAACCAGAGCTTGTGAGAGTGAGAAGTCCCCCAAGGCGAGACACCATAAGAAGGGACCCTCTCTTCAGAACACAGGACAGGAAAAGACCGCCTGGTGACCAGCTCACACTGCCCACCCAGTAGGACCTGAAAGAGAAGATATGTAAAGTCTAAATAAATACACACTGTACATCAAAGATCTGAAAGTTGTTCAAATGATGAGACAAGAAGTGATAATTCCCCATCTGGAACATTTTTATCTAGACATATTTTATTTAAAGTAGTGAAGATTCAGTCATAGCCCTTCAGCAGCAACATTTAGACAGTCCGACTGAATACATGTTGACCCCCAGGTTGGGCCTCTCATTGGCTGACTACTGCAACCACAACTCCTGTTCCCATTTTTATTTACCTTATACTTTAGTATTTACATATACTGTACCGTATGTATTTAGAGGGGATGTCCATTTTCTTACTTCCGCATCCTCCAAGGCCACTTGATTTTGAGACAAAATTCTGTGTGCTCACAAAGAGGACCTGTGTGGCCTGCAATCACCAATGGGAAAATACAAATCTTTACAGATGGATGGTAAAAAATTATGCAGTTGTGAAAAAAAGAAAAAGAGAGGTGCTCACCTTAGGCTGTCTCTGATTCAGGACGATGGCTAACAGTCGGCCATCTGGGGAGAAGGCTGGCACCAAGGCTCCTCTGGACTTCACTGGTTGGCAGGGTGGGGTGAGACGAGACATGGGGTATGTCTTGGTGGCCCACTGTATGCTGTATCCCACAGAACTACAAACAGAAATACTTTTAACTACTGTAAAACCCACTGAGAGTCCTGCCAGTTACACAGACTCGCTCACTCACCCCACTCTCACATGGCCCTCTTCCCATTGAATTTTCAGGAAGGTGATCATAAGCTTCTTCCCAGATGTGAAAACAAAAGCTGATAAGCAGACATCACCTATAGTCTAAGGGATATGGAGAAAAATAAGATAAGATATAATGCTTATGGAAAAAAGAAACAGAGATGCTGGCCTGTAAAATTGTGCCACTGACTGAAACATGACAAAATATCTCAAATATGTATTCTATTTGGGACACAAACCTCTGTCTTGACGAAGAGGGTGTGTTGGGATGCTTCTTTGTCATGTGAAGAAGGCAAAATGGAGTCTTCGAGGGGCTGTATATGTGCCCAGCGTCCCCTGACTGTGCCATCTCGTAGCCCAGTCAAATCTCTAACATCCATACACTCCCACAGGAACACTTGCCCTGTTATGGCCACCAGGAGCACACGCATCCCATCCCCAGAAACCTGGAGTGACAGTCGTGTGGCATTCCCTGTGAAAACATACACACATAAATCCATCGACTGAAGATTTAACATTTCATTTAAATGTAATAACTGGAATTAGAAAACTCTATGTGCAGCTCAAGTTAAAAAAAAAAATCACTTTACAAGCACCCACCCACAATCTGATGCCGATGTTAGAATATTTAGGCAAATAGGTACTTGTACTTGTTTCAAGTGACTGTATATTACGGTATCACAGTAGAGAGAATACATGTGTAGTGACTGTGAACACTTGATGGATGATTATTGCACATTTAAAGGACCAGTGTGTAGGATTGAATGGCCTCTAGTACTGAGATTGCAGACTGCAACCAACTGAACCCCTTGATTCATACAAGCACAAAGAACCACAGTGGCCAAAAAAACTTGTGAAAATGCCAAAGGCCTTGTCTAGAGCCAGTGT